TTTCATACAGTCCATTAACGATAAAATTTATAACTGATGTAATTTTATCAGATCAACATATACCTTCACACAAATTATAAGTGGTAGTTTGTAGATAGCATGTATATTTTTTTTCGATCGGTTCAAATGTGTACGTATTAATGTAACCTTAAAAATCGCTAAATAAGCTCTAAAAATATGCAATAAAAACAATAAAATATGCAACAAAAAAAAAAAAAAGGAAATTTATTATTTAATAATTTTGTACGAGCAGACGAGACGAATGTGGACTGTATAAAACGAATTCTACACTCGTTCGTTGATAATCGGCTATTAGTAGATTTAGTGGAAATCGACAAAAAAAAACCAACAAAATCAACAGATAACAAAAATTAGAACCCAATAACTATAACGAAATTATCGTAATATTATATTATACCTACCTATATATTATCGCTGTAATTGTCAGCGTTGCATCAGCGTAGTCAGTCTATTTACTTAATCTATACATTTTTAATTTACTTGAAAATTCGATTGATAAAAATCAAAAAACACGTTTACTAAAATACAATTTATATTGTACCCGCTTTTGATTGAAACACAGGTAAAATGCAAAAAAGTCTTAAAAAATCCAAAAAAGCACTTAAAACTAAAAAATGCAAAATATGCAAAAAAAAGCAAAATACAATTTTTTATTTGAGTTCTTTGTATCATGAAACAAATTTTTAGCTTACTCTGCTATTTTTTAAACATCTCATAAGAAATATGCATATGCTATAAAATCCCAACCCTGGTTATAACTTATTAAGTTATACCATATATAAATATATATTAAAATTAAAAAAAATTGACAAAAAATGCAAAATAAGCATAATAATTTAAAAATAATCACATTCCTGCAAAATCTATCAAGTATGCAAAAACATGCATACTCAAATTTAAGATCTGATATCATGGCACCGAGAAATGAATTTATTTCGCACTCTGCTACTTTTAACAATAATTAACAAAAGTACGCAAATGCTAGAAATTTCTAAGCTTACTTATTACTTATTGAATAATGTGAGTAAAAACGTAAAACCCATTGGCGACCGTAGGAAATTTATCAGGGGGTGGGGCATAATTAAAACGAACGCTAAAAAGTATAATAAAAAAAATGTATTTTTAGCAAACAACAAAATATGTCAGAATTGTACCCACTTTAATCGATATCAAATAAAAACCGAAGTCTTCGCAGTTGTTCGATTGCAAATCTTGTTATTAACCGTTCGATTAATTTTTTCCAAGGGGGGGGCAAATGTCCCGTCTTGCCTCTCCCTCTGGGCGCCCATGGTAAAACCTATACCATTATTCTTACAATTGAACATTCTTTCAAATAAAAAAAAAAAAACATATTTTTTGTGTTGTGTGCTCCTTTAAGTTAAAATCGAAATAGTCAACTAACAATTAACCCATGTACGAACGTTTGAAGGGAAAATGTGGACCATTGACTGCAATAGCTTTTAAGAAATAAACGAGTCCAAAAGATCCTGATGTCAGAACTGTTTTTAGGATATGTGTGGTTTCAGGGCCTAATTTATATTAAAGGCTTTTAAATACATAAATTAAGATACATGTATTTTTTGAACACATAAATTATTATTATTGGTTACAAACTTAGTAAATTTATCAATAAAAATTAAATTCTTGTTTGAATCTGTTACATAAAACTTTATTGTTAATCATAATTTTAAATTAGAACTTCATATTACGAATAGTCATTCATCTAAATTATAATCAGTCCATTTTAATATTTAAAATTGGTCACGATTTATTTAAGTCCTATCCACCCGTCATATGCGGACGAAAACATGAGTTTTTATTTTCATTGATAAAATTGCATTATTTTTATGAAAAGCTAATCTTAATATTTTGAATTCGATTTTTGGAAAAAAAATTTTTCGAACATATTTGGAAAAACAAAAAAATTTAAAATTATGATATTTTGTAGATATAATGTAATTTTTGTAAATTTAACTACCTTCAAATCTCAAACTCATGTCTTAAGACAGCACTGCCTGTTGCTATACCATGTAATTTAAACTTGTGCGCCACTGAAAAACGCAATTGATGTCAATTTGTGCAGGTTCAACATAAAGTTTGAAAACGATTAAATCCAAAAGTTTAATTAGTGTACTTACATTAGAGTACATACGATTATTGTATATGATAGGATTATGTATTACTAAAATTGTTATATGCGTTTGCCTCCATAGAATAATTGTACCATGTCCCCCCACCCCGAAACATCCGAACGAGGGCGGCGCCCAAGGACTGTGTACATGTCGACGTAAATGAATGTCCGGGAACCTTTTGTGCGGAACATAACGTACAGTGATAACAACATTGTTTACTTCGCGGCGACTGTTACAAACCGTAAATCGTAATCACGTTAGAACAACGCCGCCGATCATCGCTCGATGTCCCGTTGTTAAATTCTTTTTACCCTATCGTTTGTTTTTCTGTCTCGTTCGGTTTTTTTTTTCATTTTATCTGTTGCCAGCAAAATCGTCGCAATCGTTTCTGCTGTATCTGTTAGCGTTCATCCGCCATGGGGTGCACAATAAGTTCCGGTGAGAAGGAGGCTGTGGAACGGTCAAAGAAAATCGACAAATCACTGCGGATCGACGGCGAGAAGGCCGCGAGGGAAGTGAAACTGTTGCTGCTGGGTGAGTAACAGATTCGTCTTTTGCATCACTGTTGTCTCTGTGCTCGCGTTTTTTGTCGTCATTGTTCCCGCGAATGGTAACTGGTTTCGTTTTGCGCCATTACGCTCATTTTGACAATATTATAACCATCTGTCTATTCTTTTTCTGTGGACATCAGTTCATGTTATGCATGCTTAAGTTCTATTGTTATATTGCACTCGTAATCGTCCGCAAAAGCAAATTCAATTTTTTATTTTTAGGAAATTATAGCGTGTACTTAAACGTGAGCGCAAAGTTGAATTGGTCCATTAAGAATTTGGGAGTTTTCTTAATGAACTGTATTGATTCGTAGACTTTTTCCTAACTCAAGATGATTAACGTTAACCACGTGTCGGTCTATTTATCATTTTCCCACACCGAAATGTTTTCCCAACTACCCTGTATGAACGTACCATTGTTTTACTTTATATTGAATTGCCAATCAATATATTTGATATTCTTGTTTAATATATTTCCTTGAATTAATTACTATAATTATAATTATATTGTATATCTTGGATTATTGTGAATCAATAAGGTCTTATTGCTAATAATTTGTTATTTCTTTTTTTGATTTATACGCTTAATATTCAGTATAAAAGATTTTAAACTATACTATTAAATACATTTTGCTTAACCTTTAGTAACGCGCACAGTATCAAACCATATAGTTGCGCGCGCAGAGTAATTATTTTCTGTTCAAATAAAAAAAATGTTTATATTATTTAATTTTTATTAACTATATTTTGTATATTATTGAATTCCAAATCATAAACTATTACTTTTTACTTTATTAATTATTACTATACAAATATTAATTAATTAAAAAAAATAAATATTGATTTTATTTTACCGATATACAGTGAAAACTCTATATAACATAAACATAACATAATAATGGTTGGTTTGCTATATAACCCATTAGTCAATTCATTCTCTATAATGTATTAGTCACTCTCAATAACGAAACAATATTTTATGTTTCATAATAAAATTTACATGTTATCATACCTATTACATACATAAATTATAAAATAATCAGCATGAATGCCGAAATTTCCAAGAATGATTACATTCTTCCATTATCTACTTTTAATATTGTTATTTTCGATATTGAATAGGTATGTTCATTTTAAATAAGAGTATAAAAATTAAATTATATTTAAAATGTATAATAATAATAATAATAATTTAATATAATATTTAAATATAATATAATGTAAAAATAGTGATGTGTTTAATCTTTAATATTATATAGGTACATATTTTTATACATAAATAATTAAAATTTTGTTTTTTTAAACCCTGTCTATAACAAAAGAAATCTCTTGGTCTCTTCAGATTTGTTATAAAGAGTTTTCACTGTTTATGTATATTAGTGTTATGAACCCCTATACAATTGAATGCTGACTACGCATTCACAATGGTCATTGGACGACCGACCGGAGTAATGCGCAGTCAGTCGTGTTTCGATCTAGCTACAGAACAGTGTATAATTCTTAAGTTAAATAGTGTTAAGTTATTCATTGTCATTAATTAATAAATCGACTCAATAAACGTAATAGTATTTATTTGTATGTTTTTCATCCACACGTTGGATAACGATTCCTAACCTCGAACCCCACACTACCAAATAACCACGGCAACATTATTCAAGTGAACGAGACGTAACTCAGAAGCTTATAACATTAGTACAGAATACAATATATTCTACAATAAGACCTGTAAAAAAATAGACTATGAATTGACTGGGGTAAATAACTACCCAGTGCACCTCACTAAAGGTTAATATTGTAGTAAAGAAATCATTTTAATATCTAGACAATTTATGGTACTTATATATTATTTAATATAAAATTACTTAAAATTAAATGGAAAAAATTATTAAAAAGTTTATGGTATTAATGTATTTGTAAAAAATCTTTATAAATTATATATGATTCTAGATTGATTTTATCTAATTAAAATATAAATAATTATATTATTATTGAAATATATTTTAGTATATAGTAGAGACTACTAATGAAGATTACTTCACTTAAGATTACTATTAATAAAGAATAGAAAAACTTTAATTTATAATTTTAACTATATTAAGTTATAACTAGGCTTAGGGACTTTTAGCATTTGCATACATTTTTTAATTATTGTTAAATATAGTAGAGTGCAAAATAAATTTGTTTCTCAGTGCCATGATATCAGATCTAAAATTTGAATAAGCATATTTTTGCATATTTGATAGATTTTGTAGGAGAATGCTTATTTTAACATTATTGTGCTTATTTTGACAAATTTCTCAAATTTTATTATTTAAAATTAAAAACTATAGATACATATAACTATATACCTATTAATATTTCAACCGATCGAAAAAAAAATGTACTAAGAGGACTTAATACTTCCAGTAATATGCTATCTGCAAACTACCTCTTATATCTCGTTATAATTTTTGTGTAAGTATAAATAATACTAAAAATCCGTATCGACCGTATAACCCACTGGATATTGACCGGATGTCAATAAAGATAATAATAGTCAATATAGAATAATAAATTATTTGTTTAGTGTTCAGTTCAGTCAATTATTATCCATTGTTGTTTTTGAGTCTCTCAACCACACAACGTCGAATCATATGTAAAATGTCGTACGCGATAATTTTTATACATTGTGTTATGCCGAAAGTACAACAGTTTACGAGTAGCCGACTGCAAAGTTTTGTTTCAGAGTTTAAAAATATATTCAAATCCGATGGACACGTTTTATTTTGTGTACTATCTGGTCTTTTTTTTCTTTTTCTTTTTTTTTAATGCATATAAATGCATATTATAATGCATATTTTAATGATTTTAGAAGCATATTTGCATGCATATTTGTGTATTTTTCAGAGCTATGAGTCCCTAAGCCTAGTTATAACATTATACCAATTAGATTTTAATGCTTTAATATTTTATGAATACACTATACATTTGCTGGATTAAAATACATTTTTTACTTTAATAACCAAATAAATAATATATTAATATTTAAGAATTTTTAATTGAAAATATAAACTCTTATGATATTCAATTTTTTTTTTTTAATTCTTCGACAAAATTGTCAACTAAATTGTTATCTATTAATTGCTTTCTATAGATATTAAATTTTCTATATATTTATACACAATATGTCAATATATATAATAGTTTTTTTTTTCTGTCATTGTGATTCTATCCTTATTTTGATTGATAATGCACTAAAATTTATAGTATGTATTTATGTATTATATAAATATATATATTGGCCTAGTTGTTTTTTGATAAATCAACACATTTTTATTTAAAATATTTCGTTATTATTTTAAATATCTAAGCACTATAATATTTTGTATTTCCCTTAAAATATTATTAAATAGTTCAAGTATCTTAGTTCTATAAATTCCATTACAATTCAATAGTTTATTAATTTAAATATACATATATAGTAAGTAAACATGTACAACAATTATTGCTATTATTATTATTGTTGATTTATGAATTTGTCCTAAGTTCCGTATGAATATTTAATAATAATTATCATATAAGTAGTTATTTATATAAAATAATTCTTGATTATTAACTGATGTAATAAAACAAAATAATAAACAGTTTAAATTACAAATACTATAAAAATATTAAACTACTAAAATTATTTTTAAAATATTATTGAGATAATTAATGTGAAATTATTATTCTATGAAATCTTAACTAATATATAGAACATAATCAGTATAGAATATTTATCTGATTTTAATATGCAGGCTTTGTTGAACATAAATTGATTAAAATTTGTATAAAATATATCAATTCAAAGTTTTAAAAACTTATCTTGCTTCTTTTTATATCTTATTAAAAGTGAAATAAATGTAAATTATTTGAAATATATTAATATAAATGGTTTCACATTTTAACCATTTATATTAATATATTTAGAATTGTAATTGTGTACAATAGGGAATTGAAGACAAAATATTAGATATTAATGTAGGGACTATTATTTTATGAAAATAAAATAATCAGGTTAATCAGTAGTTAACGTTTAGTGAGGAAGAGAATACTACCGCTGTATAACATTGCTCTACTATTTTTTCCAGAATATTACATCCTACTATAATTATTTAAAAATCACTACTGTTAATCACATTGGATACTTCTTAAGCAACTCGTTAAATTATAATAAAAATAATTATTAGTATCTTTTTCTGTAATTGGATTAATAAATAAAATAAATGTATTAATGAAGAACACATAAAGTATTGTACTCACATTCTGGTATATATAATTTCACAAACCAATAATTTAAATGTATTATTGTGTTTAGTGAATAATAAAATTAATAAAGTGTAATATGTCCTCTGCTTTCTAATTTATATGTCTTATTTTATTAAAATTACAATTATTTATTTAAAAAAATCAAAATAATATAACTAATAGTTTTATATATAACACAGATAAAACATTTTTACTTAAATCATTTTTTATTCATCTAAAAATATAGGTATTAAAAACTGGTGCATCATAGACATAAAATATTTATCTTTATACATTCGCAATGTGTTTACTTTATTGAGATTTTGAATCAATTTATTATGATTTTAAACATTTTAAATGTATATTAATCTGATAATATACATTTAAAATACCATAGAATTAATATATTTAATTTATATATATATATATATATATATTTGTTTAAACATAATAATAATAAATACCATTTTTTTTTATACTAGGTGCTGGTGAATCTGGAAAAAGTACTATTGTAAAACAGATGAAAATCATTCATGAAACTGGATATTCTATTGAAGAATGTGAACAATATAGACCTGTTGTATTTAGTAACACAATTCAAAGTTTAATGGCAATTATACGAGCTATGGGAATTTTAAGAATTGATTTTTCAGATCCTAGTAGAACGGTATATATAACTTATAACATTTATCTATTTTTTTGTAATTAATAATATAAAATAAACATGCTAATTTGCTGTTTAATTTCAAAAATATTTGTTATTTGTCTAGGAAAACGCTCGTCAGTTTTTTTCCCTTGCAAGTGCTACTGAAGAAGGTGAATTGACACCAGATTTAGTAAAACTTATGAAACGCTTATGGGCAGATAGTGGAGTTCAAGAATGTTTTTTGCGTTCAAGAGAATATCAACTAAATGATTCTGCTGCTTACTACTTAAATGCATTGGATAGAATATCTTTTCCTAATTACGTGCCAACCCAACAAGATGTTTTACGAACAAGAGTAAAGACAACTGGTATTATAGAAACAAATTTCTCATTTAAAGGATTAAATTTCAAGTGAGTAAATCGTTTTGATTAGTTAAGTGCTATTTTTCCCTAATTTAAAGTGATAGTCAGTCAAGTCATTCAGATATATTATGTTTTATATTTAAATCTATCCATGCAAAAATATTTAATACTTGTTTTAATTTACTTAATAAATAATTATTTTAAAGTAATTCAAAGTAATAATTAATAAAAAAATTAGTATATTTTATTAATTTAAACTATAGTAATTTATTTAAATACATTTATAATAAGAATAATTTTATTAATTTCTTTTCTTTTATAAATTTATATTACAGAATGTTTGATGTTGGAGGCCAAAGATCAGAAAGAAAAAAGTGGATTCACTGTTTTGAAGGTGTTACTGCTATTATATTTTGTGTTGCATTATCAGGTACACAAAACCCATGACATTTTTTTGTAAAACATTTCATTTTTTAACTAAATATTTTATTTTTTTATAGGTTATGATTTAGTATTAGCTGAAGACGAAGAAATGAACCGAATGATCGAATCTATGAAATTATTTGATTCCATTTGTAACAGTAAATGGTTTGTTGATACCTCAATTATATTATTTTTAAACAAGAAAGATTTATTCGAAGAAAAAATAAGAAGAAGTCCTTTAAATTCTTGTTTCCCTGAATATACAGGTAAAGATTTTACTTTAGAACTAGAATATAAATGATTATTACATTAATTTCTTATTTGAATTTAAATTTCAGGTTCTAACAATTATGAAGAAGCTGCTGCTTATATACAGATGAAATTTGAAAGTTTAAACAAAAGAAAAGACCAAAAAGAAATTTATACTCATTTCACCTGCGCTACTGATACAAACAATATACAATTTGTCTTTGATGCTGTAACTGATGTGATCATCAAAAATAACCTTAAAGATTGTGGTCTTTTTTAAAAACTGTAGCTAGTTGCCATAATTATATCTTGCAGACTATTAATAATTTAATTGTTTATCATAATACTTTTTTTTTCCTTATGACTGATAAAATTATTTAAATCCTAGCAGCTATCGTTTGAATGTGCCAAATAATTTTAAAACCAAATATTCATTTACTAAATAATATTTTTATAGCTAAAATCGAATAAAAAATATTTTTTATACAATCAAGCAACAAAATAATTTTATTAGTTATATTTATTAATACATTGTTTACTCGTGTTAACAATACTATGTTTTTTTTTATGGCATGCTATTATTAATCTTTTATTTATATTTGCATGTATTTTTAATTTTTATTATTATTATTTTGTAATAATTATTTTAACTCAAAATACTTGCCATTAATTATATTTTCATATTTTGAACTCTTAAAATTATAAATTACTATTTTAGGACTCACCATATGTTAATACTATTAACAAAATAGTAAATTATTTTTATATGTATATAAGACAGTATCATCTGTGACTGAAACTCAATGTATAACATTTGTAATTTATTTTTTTCAAATGTGTGAATTATTCATTCGGACTGATTTAGTGCTAGCTTTGTTTTTATACATTGTAATTTTGGCTGCTTAAAAACAATTTTGTACTTAATCTTATATTTCTACACAGTGTTACAGTATCTAAGCATACTTATTAAAATAAATTATTAATATGGCAGTATTTTATTTATGTATTATTATTATTATTATTATTATTATTATTATTAATTATTAATTATTATTTTTCATGTACATTAATTTAATTTTTATTACTAAGAAAAATGAATTAGTTATTGTTTTGACTAAAAGTAACTTATAAGTATTATTTAATTTGATACATATACATGATTATGCATATACATAATTATGTTAAATAAAAATTTAGTTTTAATGTTTTTTAATTATTCAGGGTTCAGTATTGTGATTAAATGTCTAAGGATACTCAAATATTTTTCTATTGTTAAGTTAATTAATGTATTCTTAATAAATATAGTTTCGGAACTAATTATTTTATGAGATATATCATAATTCTTAAGACATTTTATATTTCATATTTAGTTACCAATAATATTATTTGTTCATCATTTTTATACTCAATGATTTTGCTAACAATATATTTTTACATATATTTCTAATATAATTTTAGTGCTGTTGAACAATACCATATCAAAATGTCGCATGAAATATTAATACCTGTAATAAAAAAAATATTTTTAGATTTTATTATTGATATAAATTAAAAATAAAATCCAATAATTGCTATAAAAAGATATTCTACTGTTAATGATTATCTTCCTATTGTATTACTATTAAAATAGTCAGTTGTCGTATTCTTATTACTAAATTATTTGTAGTATAAGAATACGCATGTTCTAATGACAATCTAAACTAAAGATCAGATGTAAATTTAAATGTGTTGTTAAATCGTTGAATATGATAAAATCAATTTTAATAATGTTAACTTCCACAGTAACAGAGTATCATTGTAATAGTTATTATATTTATTAATATTCATTATATCTTATTAATTTTTTTTATTACTTTCATAATAATTGAAATACTTAATTGCATATTTATTCATTATTTCAGAATCTAAAATATTTAATTATTATTTTCTTCTTACGAAAAGTAAAGTCTAAGTAGAAAATAGTCTGCAGTCGAAGTATTAACGAAATACATGGCGATACTGAACCATTATAAATTGAAACATGCATTTCTCCCAACATTTTATTATTATACAATAATCAAATCGTTATTTTTTGTCTGGTTATTGACTGCAAGACTAAAAATACTTCCCGTAGTCATATTTATAGCGTAATGATCGCGCATCTACTAATCAAATGGTTTAGTCCAATTACGTGGCGCACATAGGATTTTTTTTAGGGGGGGAGGTCAAGGTAATAATATAACATATTTTATAATTAACAAAATTATGCAAATCCTTAATATATTTTGACTTAAATAATAGCATTGATAATAGAATAGACTATTCTATAATCATATTTCATATTTATATTATTTATATATATATTATTTATACTTCATATTTCAAACTTTTAAAATTTGTAAATTTTAACCTAGACATCGGAGAAAATTTCGGGGTGGGGGGGGTACAATTCCTCCCCCCGCGTATGCCACTGCCCCCGACGACCACGGTCAAATAAGCCATCATAAGTCACAACCAACAAAGCTCACACAACAAATTTAATCAAACAAAAAAAGTGAAAACACAAAAAAAAAACATATAATTTATTGGAAATGACTACAATGAACAAAATTACAATAAAACTGATAAAAGGTCAAAAATTGCAAAAAGTTGCACTTAAATTTTTAGATATTAATTTTTACTTGTTTGAAACAAATGTATAACCTACTTGGCAACGAATTCGAACAATAGGAAAAAATATGTAAATACAACATCCAATCCCTAAAAATAAGTAAGGTAAGAAAACTTGCAACAATTTTTGTACAACCAAAAAATATCAGATTACAGAAGAAATACGTTTTTTTAAATTTTATTTTGCATATGAATGCAGATTTTGAATTTTTTTTTTTTTTGTTTTTAAGGCATATTTCTTCCGTTTTATACTTTTAGATTTATATTTTAAATAGTTTTTCACTTTATCAATACTTCTTCGTTTACTTTTTTATTTCATCTAATACCTATACGATCAAAATATTATTGAATTACAAATAGTTTTAAATTTTGACCATATAATATGGTTGTTGATTCTTCGCAAACGCATGTCTGTTTAAGCATTAAAATGCCGAAAGATATTTTCTTTCAATTAAGAGTTTTTCGACAAAAAAAAAAACGATTTAATGTTTTACAACATTTAAACAATTTATATATTTTTTTAAATAAATTACTTAAAAAAATAAAAGACCATAGTTTTAGTGAACTTTATAGGGGTTTTAAGTGCTTGTTTATTTAGTGCTTTTTTAGATCTCTACAAGTCCCCTTATCTTAGTAATAAGTAATAACTCAGGCATAAAGTAGGGCGATACAAAAGAACTCAGTTCCCTTTCACATTTCTCCGAAAAGTTTACTGAAACGCTCGTGTTTGATAAAAATAATCATACACAATAAAACAGTTAAAACATTGGCTTGGCAATTTAGTTTATGTCACTAAGTGTTAAACAGTGTTCTACAAACAAAACTAACTCATATTAAACATTAATTATAAGCTATTTATTAATGTATACTTATTTATATAAATATTTATATATATACTAGCCGACCCGTCACAGCTTCGCCCGTGAACTCCGTTAATTTTTTATTCAAATATTATTGTTTATTGTGCAATCGGCAAGTAAATATAAAAAAACGGTTAATGAAAATGAATTGAAATTTTTCTAGCGTTATAAATGATAAAAATAAATACAGATAAAAAAGAAATAATTTATGGTTGATAAAGAATTTTATTGAAGTTGATGGAGAAAAAAAAGAAAAAAAAAGAATTAAAATAAGAATTTTATAAGACTTCTGAGTATATGATGTTTTTTGTTATATTTCCTGTTGAAATTAAAATCATAAGATGATTCGGGTCCCCAGTTCGAGAAAATGCCACGTATAATTGCCCATGTGAAAAGCACTCTGTACGAAGATCTACGCCAACGTACTTGAATGTTTGACCTTGCGCTTTGTTTATGGAAATGGCAAAAGAAACTTTAACCGGGAATTGAAGCCGTTTGAAAGAAAACGGCAATTCAGAGGGAATCATGGGAATTCTTGGAATAAATGCAATTTCTCCTTTCGCTGGCCCTGTAAGAATTACGGCTTCTATAATATTATTTCGCAACGATTTTATTTGTAATCTTGTACCGTTACATAAGTTCGGTGGTTGAAGATTACGTAATAATGTAATTGGAGCACCAATTTTTAATTTTAGCTTATTAGGAGGTTATTATGATGTAGATTATTCTACAAATTCTTGTAATCGGTTATTATCGTTAGAACACAAAATTGAGAATTCAATAGGATCAGATGCATTTTCATTTCGAACAGGTGAGTTCATTCCAAATTCAGTTAAATATTTTTCAGACAGACAAACTACTTTATCTTCTATTTCAATCAAACCTCTATTAAATATTTCATCAGAAAAAGTAAATTGCAAGTCATTTAATCGAGTGCGCTCTGTATGAAGAATATCTTCACAAAAATCATTTCTGAACTGTTCCCACAAAGATTGAGGTTCAGACGGTTGGCAGAAAACTATGATTATTGCGAATAATTCTCTTAATTTCGAAGGACTTTCTGAAAGAGTTGTCTCCGCTAGAGCATTTTTCCATTGCTCGTCATTTTCTAAAAGCCCAAGAGCAAAACAGGTAGCTTTAAAAGTCACGTGAATGACTCCATCAAAGGCCTTCAAGCTTTCAAATGAAGTAGGACCTTGTACATAATTTAGTAACAATCTTAAATGGAAGCACTCACTTTGATTTGGATGAATCGTGTAAATTCTACCAATGGTAGTGTCCATTTTTATTCCTGGCCAACTTGGAACATCTTTTCCTCGTCTTCTCTTTAACCAGCCTTTGCTATCATCCCAGGTATAATAAGAAGGAACTTCATGATAGAACAGTGTTTTCGCAAAATCATCATGTGAACTCAGTTCAAAAAATGCAGTTAGTGTCATTTTTCTTGGATTTTCAATAACTTGATGAATATTATTAGCATTAAAAAAAACACGCTGTCCATTTTCTAGATGAACAGCAAAGTGCTGAACTGTCGGATCTCTATCATGGATTTCAAAATTGAAAATTCTCCAGAACGCTTCAGAAGTACATATGTATCGACCATTCAAATTATTTGTAATCTCATCGTTTCTACGATTAACAGAAAAAGTAGCTCTATCTGAGCACTGGACAATACGGTACAACCCTACGGTTGTCAACCACGATTTCTGTTTGACCATCAACTTTTTATATTGCAGTATAACCTCCATCATCTGGTGATCTCCGTCGGTAAGTCGGATAACCATCATCTCCAGTTTGAGTATCCTTGACCAATTTGTAAGGGTATTTCTTACTACATTTTCCATTATTTATACATGGCGATCTAATATTTAACTCGCCGCATGGGCCATGAATCATATTCTTGCATACTATTTCATAAAGTATAGGATCTTTATCTTTGTTTGGTATCT